TCCGAAGTTCGAAAATGCTGAACCACGTAGATTGTTGAGGAAAAAATATGAAAAATGTGTCATTAACACAGAGTCTTGTGGCACAACTTTTTCAAAAATCACAAAAAAATAATCGGCAATGGAATAAAAATCCAAACGCTTCAAAAATAGAACCGTATATATTTCAGGAACACATCCCGAAAATTTCATTAGCCGTTACCACAGGGATTATTTGTAATTATTGGAAATGTATGGCATCGTTGGATTTTAGTTACATTAGAGTAAACCGATGGCTGAACATGGCAACGTTGAGGGAGGTTAGAGTGCGCGCGACGGAGGCCATCGTGTGAACTCAGCCAAAACATTTACTATAGATTCTATAGCACAGTATAGGATTTTATCGGGACACAAGAATACCAACTGCGTCGAACAAAAATGCATGGTTGTCAAATCTGTCATGAAAATTTTTATGTGTTACAAAATTCGGATAAATAATATTTTGGAATAAAAATCATTTGGAATTGATTAATCATGAATAATAAGTGTAAAGAAACCTAAATGACGACGTTTCAATACACCCGTGAACTTTTCGTCATTGCATTATTTTTTTTTCAAAAGATGCAGCGGAGTGTCGGAACCTTTGATATTTTCCCCCACTCCATAGCTCCAAAATTTACTGCGCAAGTTCCTTAATCTCTCAAACGATTTTACATTATTTCTAGGCACAATTAGAAAATCTGAAAATAGAACCATTTCAATATTTTCCTTCGGAAGTAAAAGCAAAAAGTAAAAAGATATGAAAAAAATGCCAACACTCTCCACCACAATGTCAAAACCACTATAAGACCTCGATCTTAACTAAAGAAGAAGTGATTTTTCATCGACGCACCAGACATAATACGGATGAATGAACCAACGACGTGGAGTTGTCACGAAAACACCTCTTGCTTTGACCGCATTTGGATTGAAAGTATCGCTCGAAAAGGCCGGAGACTTGAAACGCGGAAAATTTTCAATCCTCAACTCAACTGTGTCGCGAATACCGATCGAGACATATCGCGAAGCAAGATATTTTTCTCGTACTTTATCAAAAAACTTTTTTTTTCAATTGAACGCCATGATATCTTTAAAGTTGTATAAACATAACTTCAATTTTGAAGATTAAAATCTCATCAAATTTGTCAATTAAATTGCGTGAGAAAAATTTGAATAAAATCGTGAATATTCGACGCCAGTAAAATGACATTTTACACAGAATTATTATTTTTTTAAACATGGGTTGTTTATGAATAAATAATTGAAATTGTTTAAACTTTCGGAAACCTTATTTTTTAGACATGAGATCGATTTCTGGTAAAATTCCGAATATGAATAAATTTGTTCCGATTCGGAATGCATGATTTTTATGCTGGAAACTTGATTATTTATCAATTATTTGTAGAAAATGCTCGTAACTTCCAAAAATTGCAATTATTAAATTATTTAATCAATCTTTCTCAAAAAGTAAATTTTCAAAATTTTTTCACATTTTTAAAATGTTTTCTAATGGTTCACTTTCGAGATTCACATTCAGACCTACAAAGTCTCAATAATAAAATCATTGTAAAATGTAATTTTCTTCTCATAGCCAAATGTTGGGTAATTTAGAGTTAAATGGGGGTTAATTCAAGCTCTGACGTTCAACTAGAAATTTGATATGGATTCAACAAAAACAAATAAACAAAAAAATCAAAGCGGCTGTTTCTCCAAATAAACTTTGCGGAACTAGCGAAAGGACAAAAATTAGCCAGACGCTAATGACCGTTCGATTTGAATGAAAATTCCTGCCACGTGACGTTAGCGAGGCGTTAAATATTGCTAAACGACGCACTCATTGACGGCGTAAACACCTGAAAATAAATACTAGACGATGTACAACTCGCACTCAAGGTGTTCTCGCAGCAATAATAAATACCCGTACGATAACCTTTGGCGAACAAAATATTATTCCACAGGTATGATCAAATCTCCGAGAGAAATACGATAGAGTACATGAAAAAAATACGTTCTCCCAGCGTTTTTAACATAAACTACAATCGCCATCGATTTGCTCTCGGTTTATCTATCTCAGCGCGTCTGTATCACAGAAACCAGAGGGAAAGAGTCTCGCGAGCAAATAATGATACATTCTAGGCTAGCCTCGGGCCTTTGAGATAGAAACTCTCGATTCCTCCAGTCTCTATCGATAAATCTGCTACAGCGAAAGGTGAATACACTTTGAATGTTGACAAAAACAGTGATCTCATTCGCTTAAGAATGACTGAAAACATTTTGAAAAATAGTGTCGGGTGCTTTCTCAATCGCTCGTTATTTTTCTTTTTGTTAATTGAATATTGAATAAGGAATTTTGGGTAGAGAGTGAGTTATTTTAGGAGAAAGTGTTGAATGCTGATTTAATCCTTTCATTTGGCCTAAAATGGGGTATGAACCACTGAAAAAACGGATGGTGAAGGACATTTTTTAGTAAAATCTATATAAAATAGAGAATTTTTTAGGTCTTTTCGGTGTGAGGAAAATGTGCTTCGTGGAAAAGGTCTTGACATGGAATCGATCTATTCGAAAATGTCCTCTAATAGTGATCTTTAAGGTATCCCCTGGAAAACAGGTTTTTCTTACGATTGTCGCCATTTTTTTCATAGATAATGTTTATAACAGTCTCGCGCTATTGAAAAAACTTTAAACTAGCTGTACTACACACTGTTAAAAAATGTTGTCTGAAATTTCGGTACACTTTTTGGAAATTTTTATCGAATTCAATTACCATTGAAATTTCAAGGAATTTCGTCATTGAAAATTCAGACTTTCGTGAAAAAAACAAAGAGAACTGTAAAGTTCAGTTCCATTTTTTCCTGAAAATGAATAGAAGACTAGGAAATTCCGGTAAATATATTCTTGAATTTTCAGGACAGTAACACTGAATGCGATTTAGGGAGAAAAAAATCATTAAATTTCCAGATTTCACTGAAAATTCAATGTAATTTGGCACTGATTATTTTTCCCAATAGGATTTCGATCAATCAGAGCGCAGTATTTGAGACTACTCGACGGTTTTATTTCGGATATTTCCTCCTAGCTTTTGAATATTTCGCAGTAGTTCTTCATTTTTTTTACCTGAATATTTCGCAGTAGCTCTTCATTTTTTCGGGTCATTTCAGATAGAATCTTATATTTGACAGTCTATAGAAATCGGGTTATTCTATTAACATAATTTGTCCAAATCTTCCCCAATTCACCTCTTGATGTTGTCCACTGCACTCTGCTTAGCCAAAATCCGATTGGGAAAAATAATCCGACAAATACCCCTCGAGATTCAAAATTAATCGGGTATTTCCCTCAAGCTCCCCTGCAAACAAACCATCACTTTTGCAGTAAAATCCCTCGCGCTGCGCGCTCGGGATTTTAGTCTGCACAACTGATCTCTCTCGATGCTATGCAACAAAACATTTGGGAAATATCCGATAATTTTGAAGGTCTTGGGGTATTATAGCTGATTATTTCCCGCATCACCCTTCCGAACAATAGAATTGCGGAATTCGATGGCCCGTGGTCCAATCAGCACAGAATTATATCGATAATACCCCGTCGTTCGATAATTTTTCAACAAAAAAATTGTCGAATTTACCACGATAACGCTGAATACCACAATTCTATTTATCAAAATGTAATGGTGATGGGGGAAATAATCCGCCGAATACCCCTCGAGCTTCAAAATGAATCGAAGTATTTCCCTCAAACTTCCCTGCATACAAACGAATGCGTCAAGTTTCACAGGAAAAATCCCTCGCGCAAGCGCTCGGGATTTTTTTTTAACCTGCGAAACTTGACGTATTCGTTTGTATGCAACGAAGTTATCGGCAAATACCTGAGCATTTTGAAGCTCTCGGAGTATTATAACCGATAATCCAACAGCTAATTTATTACCAAAAACATCTATACTATATGCAATACAAGAGTAGTTTCCCATTTGTTTTAGAAATGATGAACAGCAGGGATAGGCAATCATATTAGATTTTGACAATATTCAAAAGGGATTATCTCCTTATATTGTTCAAAGTTTAACTATATTTCACAAATTTAAAATATTATAAAATTTATCAACTAAATTTTCCGATTGATGATGCATAAAATATTTGATAATACGGAAATGTAATTTTTTAGTTAACAAGCTAATTCTAAATTTAGGTATTTGATTTGAGGTTATCCGACTAATCGTCAATCTTCCTACCTAAATTATTTGTTGATAGAATATTTCGAAATTTAAATGTACAAATTGATGGTTGGTTTAATATTTAAAATTTCAAGGTTTATGTTAAAAATTGACAAATTCACAATTTAACGGTGATTAGGATTGATTGATATGCCTATCACTGTCCAACAGTACTTCCCCCAGCCACCCCACCCCTCGAATTTCCCAAAAATTCCTCAATCACCTGACTTCCACCCGGTAAATCCTGAGAATTTCCTCCCAGCCCGTAACCAGAATTCTCCACAAGTGCGAGAGAGAGTGATTTCGCCTTCCCCTCGCCACAGAGTGGGGTACAAACCGCTGAAGAGAACCGGACGGTAACCGGCGAGTGGAGGGTCTGCGCACCTGGCTGCGCGCTACGAAAGCCCGACACAAACACACCTAAACCCATCGCACAACTACAGAAGAAAGGTGAGCACTAGGCCCGCCTTTCCCTCGGGTACTACCTGGTCGTCTGCATTTTCGCCGCTCGTCTCGTCCCGACAATTTCCTCCCTCCGAGGAATTCTTCCCAAAACCGAGGAAAAAAAAAATAAATAAAACAAACAATCCCATTGGCATTATCAGCCCCGAGTGATTGGATTCGAGTGAAGTGTGTGCGCTCGCGAGTCGGAGTTAAAGTTCCCCCCCTCACACACACGTAAACTCACCAGGTAGCCTACGTCAAACGACAGCGGTAGAGTGACAGAGAAACGGAATCGGACGAATGGCAAACGACGCCGCAGTCGCCAGGTGAGCCAACGGCAGTGCGCGGCGATCACTCGGCAACTCGTGTTACAAAACTAAATTTTCGATTTATTTACCAATAATAATACCGCGTTGATGATTAAACAAGTTATTATCGAATATTTACACACGTTGAGCTACCTCGGTTGATGGTGCACAATGACATTGTTTTGGAGTCTGTGATTTATGGAATTTATTCGTGGAAATGCGGCAAATGGTGCACTAACGACGATCGTTTTAACAGCAACAAGTGGTGGGTGCTTGGATTTTCGGTGTGCTAACTCCATAACCTCAACTGATTTATGGAATTCGGGGGGGGGGCCGGATTTTTTTTTTCATCGCAAGTGAAATGAGAGTGACGAGTTGAGGGAATATCGGTACAACGGAGAGTGCGAGTCTCACCGACGGCGCGGGCTCGGGAGATACACGGATTCCTACGCGTTATTGTCTGTGATTATTTTTTAGTTGTTGATTTTTTTTGTTGTTTTTGGGTTTTTATGAGTTATTTATTTGGTGAGTGGAGCACGTGGGGTTGAGCAGCTCGGGGAGCGGCCGGAGGAGCTCGGCGCTATTGCGCCTGGCGGGGCTCGTTTTTGAGAATTTGGTTTTTGAGGGGTTTTTGAGAAAGATGCAGATGATGGGGGAAAAGGGCCCGACGCATCTTGTCGCGCTCTATGTGGCCACTGCTGGAATGCAGGGCAATGCACTGGGCAGTGATGAGGAGGAGATTATTTTGATGGTGTACGTGCTTATTGATGCGCTCCAAAATAAGGTGAGTCGGTTTTCGCTTACCAGGTTTACAATTTTTTGGGTTAGGATGAGTAGGGGAGGTTGGGGTAAAACGGACACTTTTGACTTTTTTTGAAGTGTTAATGAGGAGTTGAAATGTTGATAAAATTTAATTTTTTTTAATACAAAGAACAATTATTTCCCTTTGTAACGAGCCTAAACTGAGCTCAATTGATAAATTTGTTTCTGAGTTATGAATAATTTTAAAAAAGTCTAAAGTGTCCATTTTACCCCACCCCTAAATGCGGTTTAAAACGCCAGAGTATTTTTTTTTTTGAAATTTTCTGGTAACGGAGCAATTGAATTTCGTGATTTTTTTTCGTGGATATACATTTTGATGAGCTCCATTTATTGATACTAACTAAAATTCAATTTTTCCTACGGATCCGAAAAATGAGTATTTTTGCTAAAATCGATTTTTTAACAATCACTCAAAAATGTCATCAGGATGGCATTGGTCATGGCTCAAAAAATTGATAACAATATCGCCTTGAGTCTACACTGACAGAAAAACAAACACGTTCTCAAAAATGTCTTGGGCCAAGAAAATTGTTAGTTGAAAATTGCCAAAAAAGAATTTGCTTGGTTCAACTTTGAAAGTCTCAAACATGAATAATTGTTCTGCTTTCGACAGCAACGAAATATTTGGCTCAAGAGGCGGATTATTAACTAGCCGAAACGAAAAACTGCTATTCGTTGTTTCGCATAAAAGAAAACATTTTTCGAGCGCAAAATACGTGTGGAAGTATCAAATAAGGAAGGAGTAGTGCTGGACATTTTTTTGAACTACTAAACCTATTTTTGCGAAGAAAATTTTTCATTCCGGCGTACTCTCTGCGTATTTAGCACAATAAAATCCTTTTTTGATAATTTTCAAAACACTATTTTCTTGGCACAAGCAAAACTTGTTTGAGAACTCTGTCGTTTTTCTCTCAGCGTATCAGAATATGATGGGGGCGCATAATTCGTTGTTGAATTACAGTTTATGTTTTGTTTATGCGATTTGAAAAAGAAAATCGGGCTTTGCATGATTACAGAAAGAATCATATTGTCATGGGCTTTTTATAGCAAAATCTCTATCTCAATTAAACTCAGGTACTAGTTTATTATGTTGAATACTTATTCACATTGATTCATGGTCCTGACTGGCTTCTGACAGAACCTGGGTTAAACTCTGGCTAAATCCTAGATAAACCTCGATTAAATTCCGACTATACACTGATTAAACCTTGATTAAACCCGGACTGAAAACGAATTCGAGTCTTGAGAGGGTCTGAATATAGAATTCTTTGACAGAACGAAATGATACACAAAATTTTGATGACATTTCAATTGATGATAGGATTATGACATGGAAAAATAGAAGAAGAGAATACACTGGGGAAAAAAATTATTTTTGCCAAATATTCATTTACTTGAGAGAAGCATTTATCTTTTCAAAATCATATTTCTCCAATCGAGTTATTCCCAGGCGAGCCTGATTAGGTTTCAATTGTACCAATCATGTTGCTCTAGAGGATGACTATGTTGCACATAATCTTGGAGGAACCCCTCCAATCATTATTCATTTTTCCTAAATTTCTTATTTCCTACAGGGAAGAATTTTGATTAATTTTTTAATGGTTATAATCATCGAGGGAGTTCACTTAAGATCATAACTATCATGATCATCATCAATATAGAGCAATATAATTGTCATAATTCAAACCTAATGAGAATTGCCTGGAAATGATTCGGCTGGAGAAATACGGTGTTGAAAAAAGTAATACTTCTCTCAAGTAAATGGATACTTGCAAAAATAATTTTTTTTCTCAGTGTAGTCAAATGAGAATTAAAAAAAGAGAACCCATTCAGAAGCAAATTGCTAATTTATTAGCAGCAATAATTATACTCATTTGTAAAAAAAATTCAATTGCAAAATGCTTGTTTAGGTGGTGTCTGTATGTATGTGTTTTTTTTTCAAAATTTTCGTCCAAGGGATCAATCCCTTATAAGTTTTTTAGAGGTGTGAAGCATGTGCTGCAAAAATGGCAATGACAAAAATTTTGCGGTCTCCCCCAGATTCCGAGATATTCATTGAAAATTGGCAAGTAGTCACAATCAACTTAAGGTACTTCCTCAGTGAGTTATACTTGGTGAAAATTTCGCAATGAATTGAAGACCTAAAATTTGGATCATATGTTGTTGAGCACATGTGAAAACAATTCTCAAAATTTCAAGTATTTTTTCCACGCGAATTTTTGAGATATGCATCGACAAAAACTTAAAAAAGACAAAAATTGAATGTTTGACGATGGATATCTAAAAAATTCGCGTGGATAAAATATTAGAAATCTTGGGAGTCGTTTTTACATGTCCTCAACAACATATGATCCACATTTTAGGTCTTTAGTTCATTGCGAAATTTTCACCAAGTATAACTCATTGAGGAAGTACCTTAACCTTTAGATCGAACTCTTTCGAAAACGCAAGTCTACCGTACCCCGGAGTCCGTCAGACCGCTACTTCGTCTGGATCATATTTTTGCCGTTTGTTTGGGCGAATGAATCAATACTTTTCATAACTGAAGGTTCAAATGAGGGCTAAAATGGGGAAAGGTCAAACGTGGAAGGGTTGATAGAAGTATGAGTGTAATCTTTTATTAATTTTTTTTTTCTTCGCACATAAATATTTGTCATGAACATTTTTTCATATGAATCTCGCCTGTTAATCCTCGATTATCGAAAGAACAAAAATATGGCATTCATTATGAATGATTGGTGTTAATTTTTTTGTCAATTCCCTCAGTGAATAAATTAGAAGAAACATCGGTGGTTTCATGGATTTATCGAGGCGAAAAAAATTAAAAACATTTTGTATCGATTGGAAGCGATGAAATAGACAGCCACTGAAAGTTTGACTTTTTTTTCTCTCATTTATTAATATAGTTATACACTGTGAAAGTTTTGATAGCGGTCCCGCAGACCGACAGTTCGGTGTAAAGCGAGGGGCTACTCACTCCATGATTGAGTGACACCATTATTTCGAAACGAACTCGACTTCACGTAATTTCAGGGTTTATTTCAGTGATTTCGGAACGAAATGAAATCAATGACTTCGAGTAGATCGCGATATGAGCTCGTGGCTGCAATTGACTTCAAATGATTTTATAGATTTGAAATCAGTGATTTCAGAGGCAATGAAATAAATTAAAATCACGATGAATAAAGTTCACTGACCTAGAGGGAGCGGGGCAGAACGGGTTGTTTTAAGTTTTTGAAATGTACTAATTACACCATAGGATTTAGTTGAACTTATTATTTCAAAGCTTGTTTGCAAACGGATGAAAAACGGCCCATTCCACCTATTTTCCCTAATAATCCACAATTCACAATTAATTTCCAAATGTTATAGTGCACGAAAGATACAGGGAATATTCCACAGATTAATTATTTAATGTATCAACAGTAATTTTTAGAAATATTTTTAACCTCATTAAAAAGGCTTTCATGGAGCTGTGATTCACCCTCAGTAATCAGCGGAAAAGAAATTGTCCTGCGATATTGTTTTATATTGTTGTATTTGATTGTTGTATTCAGGATAAATCGAAGAGGCGTTTTTACTGACAGTTCTTCAGAATCAATCATAGAACAAAAGTAGATCACGCATGAAGTTATTCCCAAACGTTAGAGAATGACACTTAACCTTCTTTTTATTTTACAAAAGAGGGGAAGAGGATAGATTAAACCATTCGATTCCGTAACAATATCAATGTAGCCGTGAACGGTCATTGGCTCTGATTTTAAACAATTGAAACTCTCATGCAAAATATACCAATGGCACAGAACACTGATATTTTTTTATTACCACTGGCATGAACGTATTGGCTCGAAACTTCTTGACTTCGCTTAGTTTCCCCTCAGCATACGTGAAATTAAGTACAAATCCTAGTAAACAAGGGGGATATTTTTCCTGTTTGAACAAACACCAATCACCGATATTAATTCCGTCGCATTCTCTTACCAAATATTCATTGAGTTCAAATGACTTCGGCATCATTTCAACACTTCAGCGCGATTTCAGAAATGATTTCGGAGAGTTGAAATCACGTGATTTCAGTGCCGTCGATGATTTCACCTGATTCCAATGTGATTTCGGATTGATTTCATCACAGAGTGGCGCCATGCCTTTGGGAGTGAGTAGCCCCTCGGTGTAAGGCTAAACTATTTTACCCCTTTGCTGCTGAATCCGCGAAATGAATTTTCACCCTGAGGGGGACGAGTTTTTTTGTCAGAAGGCATGTGACCGTTACTTGATGCGTTATTTATCTTTTTCATTTTTTATTGCTACCGATTCCATTGGTAGTAAGCTTGTGAATGGATCCGCAGAAATTTCATTTTTTAATTGAAAAGTGGAAATTTTTATTGAAAACGTTTCCTTGAAACGTTTGACCTTCTAAAATTGAGAATTAAATTTCGGGTATATCCAGTGGGATAGGCATATCTATACGACCCCATTTTTAAGAAATGTTTCCATGTGAAAATCAATGATAGCATAACGATGTGTCATTTTATGCGAAAAACGTTTTTTTACATCAACTGCTCTATTTAAAAAAGTATTGAATCGCACAATCTGAAATTTTACACAGGAGTGCAACTCGATGATACTAACTAGTCCTCAATATTTTGGAACTTTATCACATCCTTCACTCATGTGATGGACCGTTAAAGTAACTTTCAGACAAGAAAAATAGAAAAACGCCAGTATCTCGGAAACTTTGTAGGAACGGGTATATATATTTTGAAAGAACTAGATAGGTGACATCAAGACGAATATTTTGAAAAAAAACTTGTAATCAGATGAATAATTTTTGAGATATTGAACAATATAGTTTTATGCAAAAAACTGGAACTCTTTAAAACTACTCATTTGATTTCGCCCATCTGAAATCCCAGCCTGTAATATAGTAAGAGCTAGAACCCTACCAAATTTCAACTTCCTATT